CACTACTAGACTTCCATTAGTTTCGTCACCTTTCATCATTCGTCTTTTAAAGTTTTTTTTGTTGAATCTATAAGTTTCATCTAACAACTCTAGGTTAAAATCAACGTTGCGTATTAAATTAAGATTTTATTGTAGTGAAACATATTTTGCTCAAATGAAATGACTTAATTTCAAAAAATACTTAACACGAAATAATAGTAAGCTGATATATTCATGTCTGTATTGAATTTTGTCACATTTATGCGCCAACATGTCGAGCATTATATCTAAGAAATATACCTTGCGCACAATTTTTCGTTACTCAAATTGATTAAATTAAAGCTTTAGTGATTGCAAAATTCATGTTTGAGGTATATGATGTAAAACTTCTATAAGTGCACGCTCTTTTAACTTATAGTGGGTGCACTTGTGGAGGTTTTACAGTACTAGTAACTTAAATTAAACGAATTTATACATAAATCTTGAAAGAATGTGACAGGATTCGATATGTAATTCAGATATATAATATTATTAGTTTACGCAACAAATATTTTTCCATATTACAAAGACAATAACAATATGTCAAACATCTCTTTTTAGTGATGCCCTCAAACATTTTTGTTAAACTATTTATCGATATTAATTATAATTTCTATAGGTCAAATGACCTTTTATCAAGATAACTTTGGAGATGTTTGGTTAACTGGAACTTATCAGGTTTGTAACTTTTAATAAAATCGATATTTATTATGATACAATTAATTATTAAAAATTTTTGTAGTGGGGGTTCAATGACCCTAGTAGCTGGGGTTACGACTGGTCCATTCGCAATGGCTGTGACGATGTCATTTTTAATTTAACTGATTGGCTACATATGGAATTTGCAGCCGACAGTGGTTGCTACGGTTATGATAATCCTTCAAAAAAAGGACACAAAAGAATAAATTATTTAGATAAGAGACATAATGGTAATAAATGTATAATTGGAAAATGGGGTACTAAGCCTTGGTCAGTTGGTGATACAAATAATATGAATTTAATTTTTATTTTATTTTTTGTGCATTTATTAATAAATGCTCTCTATTTTCACAAACCAAAATTAATGCAGGGTAGTCAAAGTCTCAGATCTTACTTGGGATTGTGAAGATCAAGGTTTCAAACATAAAATTTGTGTTGGTAAAGATATTTATAAGGTAGAAATATAAAAAGGTTGTTTTTATTGTGTATTTAAAAACAGGGAATGGTTATGATCTGAATGTATTTATATTCAAATTTACTCTCGGAATTTAATCGTCACCTGTTTTAAATCGATGAAAAAATGGGTTAACTGTTTCTTTTTTCATCATCCTTATATTATAAGGATATGGTTACAGTAGATGATGATAAAAAACCCTCAAGGATGAAGGATGAAGGAAATACAACTGGCCTATACTTGGTCATAGTTGGTCAAAGTAACGATGGCAAGCATGGGAAGCGTGACACTACTACATCTGCTGCGTCCATTAACATCGACAATGAAGGTGGAACAGTGGTACCCCAACAACCACCGCCTACCTCTAATACTCCTCCCGCTCCTGCAACTACCACTTCCACAACTACCACTTCCACTCCTGCAACTACCACTTCCACAACTACAACTTCCACACCTGCAACTACCACTTCTACAACTACCACTCCCGCTTCCACAACTACCACTTCTACAACTACAACTCTCACTTCCGCAACTACCACTTCCTCTTCCAAAATTACTTACACTCCCGCTCCCTCTTCCACTTCCAAAATTACTCACACTCCCGTTCCTTCTTCCACTTCCAAAATTACTTACACTCCCGTTCCCTCTTCCACTTCTAAAATTACTTACCCTCCTGTTCCCTCTTCCACTTCTAAAATTACATACCCTCCTGTTCCCTCTTCCACTTCTAAAATTACTTACCCTCCCGTTCCCTCTTCCACTTCCAAAATCACCTACACCCCCGTTCCCTCTTCCACTTCCAAACCTACCTCTTCCAAACATACCACTTCCAAAACTATCACTTCCTAAACTACAACTTCCGCAATTATCCCTCCTGCATTGTTACACCTGTAGCAACAGAAGCTACAACTTCAACAGAAACTTCAACTTCAATACCATCTTATTAATTAGGAATAATGTATTTAAATTTACGATATTATTATAGTTACTTATATGTTTTTTATCTATTGTTACCTTTGAATTATATTATTGAACTATTAGCAAAGTCTTAGTATAAAAGTGATTATTAGTCCTTTTATTATTCATATATGGACAGTGACGCAGATTTGTAAAGTTATAGTCATAGGTGCTGTACATAATATTTTATTACATTAATTTTATAATATTTGTGTATGGATTTTATTCTTAACAAAATTAGAGCTTTAGTGTTAATAAAGGACATAATAATTGACCTTGCCCATTACATTAATTTTTGACAAACTTTATTGTGAAATCATCTAATATATCAATATATTTTATTGAGATTAGTTACGGAAATATTATGAAAACATAAGAGTATTACATAATCAGAATGAAAAATAGTTCTCATACACATAAATAAATTTGAACCAGAAAATTTATTAATTTTTACGTACCTACGTAGGTAAACTTAAATTTACAAAATTTAGCAACTATAAATAAGCACACACATATATGTATTATTCTCGCTCGGTTTCCTTTATTAAACATTATGAACTTTATATCAATATGATCACGTTTTTTATGTAATATGAAATGTGGTGGGATGTTTCCTTAAACTTTTTTTGATGTCGCTTATCCAGTTTTTTTTTTTGCAAAATCCTTTTTTAGTAGGAATAATGATTTTCATTGTCATTTTTGGAAGGAGTTAAGTTTTTTGTATACTATATAACAAGGTATAAGAAAATGGCTGTATAGTCGAAAAGAAAATTATACGTTGTGACAGGTAAAATTGACTTGGGATAAATTTTTTTAAAAATAGTAAAATAAATGCATATTTACAGCCCTATAAAAAATGGTGCACGGAATTTATGGTCAAACGTGTGTACGTGACAACATGAGAGTGTACAGAACTACATGGAATATAACACAGGACGGTTCACGGGAAGACGTGCACTGGACACGTAAAAAGGCGTGAATTCCGTGCAACAGTGCACGTAATAGCGTGCTTTTTTGCTTGCTTTCCCGTGCAATTTTCCGTATAGTTACGTATGTAGCCGTTTATTATTTTGTGTATATGCCGTGCATATGAAAAAATTTCGTGCAATTACGTATTCGTCGATTTTGCGTATATGCAGATTCCGTGCAACTGATCTGATTTCCGTGCTTTGGACGTGCGATATTTCGTGCAGTCATGTGCAATCACGTGTAAAAATTTCTTATAGGGCAGATGAATGTGGCGCGTTTATTCGATACAAATTTGTATCTAGGTTCAAATTCGTATCCAACTAAGCAGGTTCTAAGTTGTACCCTTTGTCTAAGCAGATACATACCGTGTCGATCATCTTGTTTCGAATTTGTATGGTTAGAAACTAAAGTTATAGTATGATAGTATAAATTAATAAAACAGCCATTATGTATGCAGCATTGGTCTAAAGTATATGACCTATCTTTTCGCTTTAATAAAAGATAACTCTGTAGAGTTCAACTCAGTTAGAGTCTATTATTCTGACTTTAAAGTTTTGCTTTAATTCCCTCCGATATATATAAGTCTAATCCTGTGATCCCGATTATTACCTCGTGACTTAATATAGAACATTCTAATTACTCGGACCAAATTTTACCATGCCTCAATCATAGCCTGTCGCTATTAGAGTTTAGGTTAGATAGTGACTTATAGTATTATTTTAGATAGTTTAGTGTGTGTTGATATATGTAAAGTCCATATTTTTGAGATTCTAGATTAGTTTTACACTCATAATGTTAAGGCAAAGCTTTACAATAGAGATATACAATAAATTGTGGTTGATCTACAGTATAGATGGGCAATATTTAAATAATTTAGTATGATAATAGGAGATAACATCATGTTGGTACAGTGATAATTTTTTTAATTGGAGAATGCTGTGAAGCAGCATTTTCTAAATAATCAAAAAAATTATCATGTACCAGTGTGATGTATTTCAGAATTATCATGCGATATTGGTATTATAGTACAGTAGTTATTGATTATAATTATACTATTTATATTTTTTTAAAAACCTCTTTAATTCGTATAGTGCAATATAATATAATTATTGTATGGTCTTATGTAACAACCCTTGCTTTTTTGAAAGCTTATTTGCACAGGTATATATAAAAATCATGTGATTTTCATATATACCCATGTGAATTAACATTTTATAAAATTGATTTAGCTTTTTATTGCTTTTTTTATAATTTTTAGAACAGGCTGATCAGATTAAGTTTATAATAGATTCAATAAAATTGATAACCTACATAATTTAAAATCAAGTAACTAATATAAATATTATGCAGATAAATATAAAAATACAGAAAAATAATAGCAGCTTCACTGGAAAATAATTAAAAAAAAGATTTAAAAAGCCTATTCATTTTAAAAAATTGCCAAACATTTAGATATTAGAATATTTTCTATAAGTTGTGTTCTTATAGATGTGTTAAAACACTTTTATCACTTTTAGAAAAACCAAGTTCACTAAATATAAATGATATAAAACATATTAAAAACTAGTATTAAGGGAAAAACCTGACTGGCATTTATATGAGTTACAATTTAAAATAGAACTTTGAAGGCTATACTGTATATTGATTTTATTTATCATAATTCTTCTTATATTTCTTTATGTATTCTCAACAAATATAATAAAATTTTAATCATTTGATATATTAATCTAAAATTCATTTTAAATAAGTCAACAAATTTATAGTCATATTTGATTTTTTTTAATATTAGTACTTTAAAAGTTCAATTTATATCTAATATTTCTTGCTAAGGTTTATCAGTTAATAAGTGCAGTTTTGTGTGCAAACTAGACATGCCAAACATGTTAGACAAGCATTTAAACAAAAATTTAATAATGTTGATATTATCATTATAATAATTAGTAAAACAATTGTTATTTTTTTATTAATTGGTAATCTACAAGTTAACTAGAGAGTGATTATATTAAAACATGATACAGATCACTTATAAGAAATTAGGTTTTGTGCATATAGTATGCACAAATCTAAAACTTTTTTATACTAAGTTAATTACTCTTTTAACTTAAAAGACTTTTGTAGAGCTTGTTGAGATATATCTAATAGTAGTTATATCATCTAAATCAGCCTGGTATATACCAAGATATCTTTAAAAAACCTTTCTTTAACTATGTAAATTTCTTAAAAACAATACTATTGTTTTACAAAGAAATTTATATAGTTAAAAAAAGGTTTTTTAAAGATATTTTGGCATCTACCAGGCTAATTTAGATAATTTAACTATATTAGATATGTTTTAACAAGCTCTACAAAAGTCTTTTAAGTTAGAAAAGTAGTTAACTTAGTATAAAAAAAAGTCTTAGATTTGTGTATACCATATTTGCAAAGCCCTAATTTTTACACTATAATCACTCTCTGGTTGACTCGTGGATCACTAATTAAAAAAAAAAATTTATTTAAGAAAAAAAAAAAGCTATTAAAATAAATAAATTATTGAAGACAAATCTTCAAATTGATATCAAGATACTTATTAGTATCAGAAATCTGAATAATAATATTATTTGTTATAGGTTGTAGTGCCTTTTGTTTTTTCATAATAGGCCCCTATACTTGCTTAGCTCTGTAATATTTAATTGTTTGCTTGTTGCAATTATTTTGTGATACTTGATTTTGTACCTGAGCCTTTCAACATTCAATGTTTGATTCTAAACCAATATTTCTCGTATCCATTTTTTTATTACTAGCATTGTTTGGTCTTAATAGTCAAGTTCTACCTTTTTTTGGTTAAAACATTCAATCCTGATAGTGATACTGTATCTTTGTATGATTAATAATAAGACTTTTAAATAGTTTTAAAAGTCTTAGATTCAAATTTGAAGAATTTAAGTTGGCTTTTTTTTTGAAAATTTATCTAAAAATTAAAAAAAATTTAATAAATTAATTAAATCTATCTCATATATAATAAAATAAAGACTTACCAGAGATTAATGCTTTAGAGATAGATTTAAAGACTCTTAAATTAGATTTGAAATACTTGAATCTTTTACTGTTTCTACTGCTATAGTTTTTAAAAGATATATAAAATTAAACTATTAATATTACTTTCTTTTTAATACTATATTAATCTAATTCTTTATTGTTATCTAATTTATAATTAATATATGAATTGCCTGAAAATGAATAGTATGATTCAAGATTTTTATGAATGCTATATAAAGAATTAACAATACTGTTGAAAATAACTATTGATTATCTGTTAAACTACTATATGCTCAAATAGTCTCATGAAAATGAAAGCCTAAAAATATCATAGCTTTATTTTCAGAAATATTAAAAGCTTACAAGATCTTTATTGCTATTCATTAAGTATTGTAATTTGTTATTTTCCTACTATTAAGATTTATTTCTGTCTGATTACGATTTGTTGTAGCATAAACTTAGGCCTATTTTCACCCATTTGGGAGAGCTTGTACTAGTTATCCTTTATTATTTTTATTAAAGAAAAAATAAAGTTTACAATTAGCATATAAATTTTTTTAAAGACATGATTAAAAATTCATAATTGCCTGTTTGATTTCTAACACACTGCAAAAATAAGACACTTACTTCATAGCTAAATAGATACTTTGACAAATATAAAAAAAGATTCTTAACAGGTATAAATTAATTATTTATATAATTAGATAGAATTTAAATAAACTAAATACTCATTTGACAATAATATTGTTGATGAAGTACTCTGTTTTGATTATTTTTTTCTCTTTAAAATCTCAACTATAAACTACTATCATTTCATTTTTTAAGATTGTGATAATTCAATCTGTAAGTATTACTCTTTTTAACCTACAAAGTAGTAATAACTAAAAGAAACCCCTTCTAATCAAGCCTCTATCATTTTTAATTAATAAGTATTTATGATTTAAATATATTATAATTTCATCTAATGTTAACAAGTTACTCTTTGAAGTATTTCTATAACTATTATTTTGTAACAGTTTCATCTTTCTATCCAAACAGCATAGAGCTTTAGAAAAAAATATTTATCTTAAAATTATACACCATCTTCTATAGCTAAATTTTCTTAAAGATATCTCACCAGAATAGCATAACAATTGTGCACTGATTCTACTTTAAATAAGAACCTATTATTTTTGTAAACCAACCAAAAAATAAACTTAAAACCATATTTAGTTCTTGCTTATTATCAAATTGGTCTAGCATTTTAGAAATACACTTTTTTTCTTAAAATTTATCTATGTAATATAGCCACTTTGAAGTGTTTCTTTCTATATTTGCAATAAAAGAGAGATCATTCAGATATTGAGCTTTGGGATTATCAATAAAAAGATTACTACTAGGTATTTTTAGAAAAAACAGTTAAAATTAGTAAAAGAGAAGTTTAAAGAACAAATAAAAAAAACTAATTACTAATTAAAATAATACAAAAAAGTTTAATTAATTAAATAGTAATATATGGGTTGTTATATCAAACCTATATGATAATATAGTTATTGTATAAATATATGTGTGAAAGTTATCAAAATAATTTAAATAGTAAATATTTTTTATCTGATATCTTTGGAGAATATTAAGAGTAGGAGTTATATATAAATTTATATATAATCACATAGCTTTTAGCCTAGAGAAATAGCATGGCAAAAAGATCTAACTAGCATGCTATTTGCTAAATTCATGCTAGGATACCATCTAGGTATATCATTATTTTATGTAATAGGAATACTCAATTTGAATTAGTCAGTTATCATGTACTATATAAACTTTCTTTTACTTGATCTTTCTCATAACTATGTATATTCAGAATATTTTGAAATAATATATAAGTAGCATGCTCTATTAACTATTTAAGTATTAGGCATGTCTATAGAATGCCACTATTGGCATGCTATAATGGCATGCCTGTGACCTCTATACCACTTATCTACTTCAGCTACATGATTTAAATATGAATCTATGTATAACTAACTTATATATACATATCTATATAATTACTATAATGTATAGATTATATATACATTGTGTAAAATAACAAGCATGAATGACAAAATAAAAAGAAAGTAATTTATAACATAAATAGTGCAATACCCATGATCAACAGTAGTCTTGCTACGTATAAAAATTATTATAATATTATATTGTAAGATCTGAAAACTATGTTCAATTATGTAAAAAATGCACAAAATACATAAAGTGCAAATACTTACATTTATGATTGAAAAGGATATTTTAAATTTGAAGGAGTAGATGGAAAGTAAAAGGAGGATATATATACGAATTAACTATCCTTAAAAATTATTAGAGAAATAATTGTAAACAATTTTGAATAGTTTTATAGAATATTAAATATAAAGTTATATTTGTAAACTACAGAAATAATCAATATAAATAAAGGCCAAAATTGCCCACGAAGAGATTATGATTTGTTTGCTTTATTGAATAAAATAAATTTATACATTATATTCTATTTACAATATCATCTTAACACTAAACCTAACAAAAACTCTATAAACTTCATAAAAATTATTAACCAAGTTCTTGATCACATAACTTACACAACTTGTTATTATTGACTCTGAGTAGCTAAAAGCCTTAATCATCTACTAGCCAAATCTAACACACCTCTTTTAAAAGGTTACTAGTCATTGGTTACATGAGGTTTTGGATTATAAAGTAACTAAGTTACAGTTTTCTAACTACAACAATATATAAAAATAACTATTTAAACTAATTTAAGTTAGAGTAAAAGTTATAGTTTAAATTAAAATTAGGTTAGAGTAAGAGTTAGAGTTTTTATATATTATAATTTTATAATATTTCTATATTGCCTACTATTTTATAGAAGATTTTAGATTGCAATTGTTATATAGTTTTTATCAACCTGATACAGGCTATTGTTATTACTGCTTTGGATTTAAACTCAATACAGAGTGCAAGCAAAAGTGAGTAATAACTTAATAGTTTGATAACAATAAAGTTTTAATATTTAAAAGAGTTTAAGCAAATTATACAAGATAATAAAACTTTGGAGCCTTAGTATATAATGGGCTAATAATTGCTGTGCCTTATTGGAGTCTATAAAAAACAAGAGACACAGATGGTTTAGCAATAGTGTACTATTGTGGCCTTTATAACAAAAGACAAAAAGATAAAATAATAAAAGAAATAATATTTTATTATTTATAACTGAACTTTTACAACAAGAAAAGTTTAAAATATAATAATATAAAAAAAAATATAATCAAAAGAAGATAAAATATAAAAGTTATTTTACAAAAGGTAGGAAAAGAGGTTTATTTATAATGTTTTAAGGCTAATTTTCATATATAGTTATGTGATATACAGATGATAATTCTTTATAACATAATTAAAAATTACATTTTACATATTAGAAAATTAAAGAATGATTTGAAAAATTATTAATTTGCAAAAGATTTTACAATGTTAATAGTTTTTTTTTTTTTTTTTTTTTTTGTAAATTGCTTATATGCTGTAATTTTTATTAATTAAAAACTTAAAAACTTATTACATATTATATGTTATAAGAATTAAGTTATGCTACATTAAACTATTTAATGACACCCACCCTAAGCAATTTAGTTATATTTTTGCTATATATTAGAATTTAATCAATAGCTATTACTCTATTAATCAACTTCTAGCTAGTGTACAACTCACCTTTTTCTATATATAGTTTTTTGTATTGTTATTAGTATTTTGTCCTCCTATCCACTTCTTGCAATAACTTTCTTTTCTTCCTAGTTTGGTTTATTCTGGTAGTTTTTCACTCTTGTTGCTTCCAAATTGGTGCATATGGCCTTATATTTGATTTAGTATTACTCTGATTTGAATACATGTTATACTACTATTATCATAATCATATCTCAAGCCAACTTTTGGGTGTTGCTATAACATGATTTATATTTCAAGTCACAATTTTCCCAAACAGATACAGCTAAATTTATTAAAATTTCTGATTGTTACTTTATAGTATACTACTTGCTTTTTATAATGCTACCAAAGTTGGTATTGTTTGTAGCATAAGTGCCAAAGGCTTTCTAGTATATCTATTTTTATGTATGGGTATACTACTGATGATCATTTTCACTTCCAGCTTGGTGCTGCAAGAAGATCTGGAACCTTGACTAACAATGCACTAGCATAGCACTCATTACCAAAGTTAGTAATATACAACACAATACCTAATACAACTTCTAACTTTATATAGGTATCAAAGGTATTTTCAGAATTTAATTAGACCAATCTTTTTTTACAGATCTTCACTATATCTACTACTTTGCTTGTTATTTCCAGTTTGAACATTAGTATTACCCTTCCAATCAAGATCCCAAACCTCTGGGTTGTTAGTACTACTATGCAGTTCTTTCACTATATCCACTACTTTACTTATTACTTTCAGTTTAAAATATTAGTATTACTCTTTTAAATAAAATTCTAAATGCCTGGATTGTTGGTATTACCTAAATGCTTTGAGGATTTATACATATAACCTATTTGTTTCAAACTTTCTATAACACTACTTGCCAAATGTAATACTAGCTCTCTATAGTTTTGATCTTTACAGATTAATATACACAACTTATTCTCCAAACTTTCTATAATGCTGTTTGCCAAATATGATGCCAACTCTCTATAGTTAGATCTTCTTCCAAGAATTTTCTATTAAATTCATACTATACTTGAACTTTCATGAGGCTCTATGTTTGATTTTTGGCTCCTTACCTATAGGTTATAGAGTTTTTTTGCCTTTAGCCCAATTTGAACTGTAAACTTTAACTTAATTTCCATAGTAGTTTGGCAATTTAACAATTAAGCTATAGAGCCCAAACTCTTTAAATATTTGAAGTTAATTATATAGTTAAAAAAAAATAAATTAAAGCAAAGCTTTATAGTAAAAATATACAATTGTTGTATTTGTTATATAATTTTTATTAGCCTAATACAAGTTATAAAGTATACTTTTTTATTATTATTATTATTATTTTATTAAACTAGCCTTTATGCTTATACTATATAGTTTTTTTTCTTTTTTTTCTATTTTTCATTTTAATACTTTTTTTTTCTTTTTTTTATATCTTTTATTTTTTTAGCTTTTGTTTTTTTTTTTAAACCTTTTTTTTTTATTTTATTCTTAATAAATTTCTTGTTAGTTAAAAAAATATAAAAGAAAAGTAAAAGCTATTATAATATGATATTTAGATTAGTTTAATAAATTTTAATTTTTAAATTATTCTTCAAATTAGTATAGCAGGTTGCATTTAAATACTTTATTTATAAAAAAAAGCTAGAATCAGATTTGCAAATTAGAAATAAACAAGTATATTAATATAACCACTTTTACTAAAATATATCTGTAGTGTTTTACTACCTAAGTTTCTATTTCTCAAAAATGTACTAAATAAACAGGATTAGGTGCTCTAAATAAAAATATTCAAAATCTCAAAAAACCTCTTAAAAACTAAGATTGGTTTTATATTAGCTCTATATTATATTATATAAAAAAAATAATAATTTTTAATACCTAAACCCTAATTTTAAATTTTATTAAATACTGTACAATTATATATAATACTAAAACATCATAGGTGCATTTTATAATAATTGTAATATAACAATATATATATTCAGTATTATAATAAAATATTAGTAAAACTATCTAAATATAAAAAAAAAAATTAGTAAATATTAATTTTAAAGCTATAATACTATTTTGTATCTTATTTAAAACTAATTTCAAATTAATTTATTTCAAATATTCTAGTTGTAATACTAAAATAAATATAAAATACTATAAATATCATTATATAGTGTTTTATTTACTAACTAAATTACTAATTTTTAATATATTAGAAGTTAAATTTCTATTATGTACAAATAATCATTAAAAAGTAGCTAGAAGTTAGGCAATAGAGATAATAGTTCTAGAATTAAAAAAAATATAAAAACAATATTAAAAGGTTTTTTTTAAATAGTAATCAAAATAAAGATAAAATAAATATAAAAGCTATACACAAAGAACTTTTAAAAAATACTAAGCCTAATAATATAAAAAAGAAAGGTATTTTTTAAATTTCAACGATACACAATTGGATTAGCTTATGCTTTTAAGCAAAAGATACCCCAAAAAAAGCTTTAATTAGTATAATAAAATAATTTTGTATTTATTTTAAAATTTGTAATAAATACTGTGTAATTCACAATAATTAACCATATAACATTAGATCATCTATTTGAATCCCAGATTTCTAGCAAATTTAAATAAAAAACTTCAATCCAAGCCTTATACAGTATAATCTGCGCCAAAATTTTGTCCAGATAACTGGCGGATTATCAATTAATTAAAACTATGCAAAGTTCCGGCCGGGTCAAATTTTTTAAAATTTTTGTTAAAAAATATTATAAAATTAAAAAAAGAAATAAAGTTTCATGTTACGAAAACCAATAAATTAAATTTGCGTGCCTAAAATTTTTATTTTGGCAAAAAAACTTAAATTTTGGCCAGAATTTTTAAAATTTTCAAATCTTGGGCCAGAAATTCTACCATCTACCAGAATTTTTTAAAGCTTGAGCCGGAAATAGGGTTAAAACTTGCCTGACAATGTAATCTAAAAGTTACATGAGAGTTAACAACCCTAGTCGGAAAACACAAATTCTGGTCAGAATTTTAAAATTCCAAATATCGAGCCGGAAAGCTTAAAATTCTATTGTATTGGGCCAGGAAATTTACATCAGGGCTAGAATTTTAAATTATGATTGGTTGGCGAAAACCCTCTAACCCTAACGCAACGACGTTTATATGATTGAATTTTTGTGCCGATTTTGGGTATGGTACCCGGTGTGTGCATAGCTAGGAAGATATCCCAGCCAATAATCAATATTCAAACAATTGTTTTTATCCGGCACCTTACTATGATCGTACCAACAGAATAACTCGAGTTATTCTGTTGGTTCGGTCGTCGTAAGATACCGGATAATACCGTTATTGTGTGCGACGCAGCCAATAACTATAATCCCTCAAAAAACTGTAGACCAAGAGATGCAATCCGTTATTTGAAATTTAACGGATATCCGGATTCTTTATAATTTGTTATAAAATAAAACTAGCAGATATCCGGTTCGCATCTCTATTGTAGATACTATTATACAAGATATTGTATTGTGTTCGTCAGAATGCGTCAGAATGCTCTTGCAATTATGAACAGAAAAATAAAAGTTTCACCTAAATTATATGATTTTGAATTTTGGATGTTTTTTTTTGTATTTTTATTTTTTCATTTGAGGAACAACCTTTTTTATGGACATTTGTTTACATATGTTCGTTCCAAAGGAGCTAAAATGAAGAGGTGATAAAAGAATAAGGAGTAAAACATTTTAAGGTCGAAGTACTGACGTGTTAATGTGTAAAAACGAACAATAAAAGGAAAATTAGATAAACTAATTCGGATTCGGTTGAATATGTTTGTCTATAGGATACATCCAAATGAAAAAAGATGATAAAGGGTAAAAAGAATAAGAAATTTAACATTTTACAGGTCGATAAGATGATGTGAAAACGAACAATAAAAGGTAAGAAAAGGAAAATCTGGTTCACTAATTCGGATTCTGTTGTATTGGATGATTTATCAACAAAACGGAAAGATGGACAAGAAAAAAAAAAAAAAAAAAAAAAGTGAAAATAGAATGTTAAGATAACACAACATTTCTCTTTCGAAAAGGTTAAGAATGATAGTATGATATACGGTGAAAGTTTTATCAAGATTCCACTTGAATCTCCTAAACATATATAATAATAATAATAATAATAATAATAAAATCTAATGTTCAGGGAAAAAAATGCTAAATACTATAGAGGTCGTTCTAATGACATATATACATACACATATACCATACCGCACACATTTACATATAATAAGTATGTATAGTGCAGCGGCTTTGGTTTGTTTTTTCCTGGGATAATGATTTCACGATAAGAGGTATTATCATATATAGTAGCGGAGAACTTACACAGCAGGACGTGTATGATTGGAGTAGTGTTACAAAAAAAAATGCGAATATTTAAGAATCGGAGTCACCATTTGCAGTCGCATTCAAACGACGTTCTTTTTCGTTCTCTAACTGGTTGTACAACAAAAAGAGGGCCTTCTCGTTGGCTTCGGGAGTACCTTGGATAGTGAACATGCGTTCACCAGTTTCATCATGAGGTGTCTTGGCAATGCTAATACGAGAACCAGAGAGTCTACGAATTTCCGAAATTTTTGAACCACCTTTACCAATGATACAACCAACCATATCAGCAGGGATGGAAATATTTTGGGTTCGAATGCTGGAACTATCATAATTATTATTATTATTATTATTATTATTATTATTATTGCCGGATCGACGATGATATTCGCTGCTACCGTTGCGAGAAGGGCGAGTAAAATCAGTTCCACTTCCAGTTCGAACAGTATATTCACTGCGTCGGGAGGTTAAGTAGCTTGAAGTGACCCTAATAGCTGGATTATAAAGAACAGTTCCGATACCTCGTTCATTATCTTCAATTAGACATTTGCCGATTTCCCAAACTGCGACACGAATTGCTTCGACAGTCCCTTGAACTTCGACCACTCTCTCCGTACTTTGGGGAAGCATTTCCTTTGAAGCAACCATCCTGGCGCCAGAAACATCCTGGATATGTTTGATCTTTAGCCCTTGTCGGCCAATGATCGTTCCCATTAGATTATGAGAGATAAGTAAACGGACAGAAGTAAAAGCATTTGGAGGAGGAGTAATTGGAGTAGAAGTTGGACTAGCATTCACAGGGTTTTCAAGGAGAGTTTGGGCGATTAGAGAATATGCCTATTAAAAAAAAATAAAATAAAAGAAATCAATGAGAAATAAATAGATAAAAAAAAAACGAATATAATATGAATAGTCCTTCAAAAAATGACAATAATTCTTATAACCCTAATAATCTAAAAAGCAAATCACATAATGTAGTTATAATGTACATTTATTCAATAATATCTTTAATACAATAAAGCTGTCATAAAATTCTGAAAAAAAATATATTTATGCAATAAAAAGGCTGATGTAATCACAACATGAACGTAACCTTTTGGGCGACTTTTTTTTTTACATAAAGGTTTACTCGAAATCATTAAATCAAGCTCTTACCTTTGCGACACCATCTAAAGTACCTGCTACAGATAACACTCTATCGTGAACGCCTTGTACAACTTTAGACACACCAGCCTTGACACCGGTTGTTTCTCTAAGCTCGGCAACATTTTTGCCGGCTTTTCCAATGATAACCCCAGCTTCTTTGGTAGAAACAAGAGCTCTAATGGTAAGTTGAGAACTTGAAATATCTTCAGTCTCTTCTTCACCAGCTTCTTCTTTAGTTTCACCTTCAGTACTTTTATTCTCCGGTGAACCTGCTTGATCATTGAGTTGAATTAAAGGCTTGTCAAAAAGCGAATGTGTATTTGTTGTAGGAGCGACGGATGTAACAGCTGTGGATGAAGTGGAGTTAGTGCCGTTACTTGTGGCAGGAGTGACAGCGGTTACTGCGGGCGCGGTGGTAATGCCGTTCACTTCGGTTTGGTCTAGAAGACCTCCGTGATTGGCGAGAGGATCATTTGCCATTTCGAAGACAAAGGGATGGTTCTGTCAAAATCAAATTCGTTGGTAGAACGAACTGTCGTTGGAGGAAAATTCATGATATATTACATTTTTGATTTATACAATATCTGATTTTCACTATTACCAACTGTTCTTTAAAAATTATTTATTTTGATTTGTTGTATAATATTCTTCTAATATTTTCCTAACATGGAAACATGTAATTAAAAACTTCTTACCAGGTGAGGCAAACAGGAAAGAGTAAGGAAAAGTTGGCAGAAATTTACTTATTATTACTATTATTACTTTATTTCTAAAGTTTATCAAGGATAAACCCGAATTAGGAACAAGAGAGCGTTCCGATGTAAGCGCAAAAAACAAAATAAAAAGGGTGAAAGATCGAGGATTTTTTTTTTTTTTTTTTATTTTTTTATTTTTTTTTTTTTTATATTTTATTATAAGTGAAAGGGTGGGGTACGGCGTGTTTGTAATGAATGAGGAACGGAAAGAAAGGGTGGGATTTTTTTTTTTCCCAACCGTTCGTTAAAATTTGTTTTTCTTTTGGGGTTGGTGTACTACACAAAACCTGATTTTTGATGACGTTTGAACTGTATGATTGTCATGATCTTTCATTGATAAAATGCTGATTTTCAAAAAAAAAAATCCCGCAGCTTTGTGCATTGTTGATTTTTAGAAGGGTCACTTTTTTTTGTACACCAGAAATATGCAGTGTAAACATGATTGGACAAGCAAATTTCGCATTTTGTGCGACAATGCGTGGTAGCCGACGCATGAAAACTCAAAGCTTCAAGTGCACATGGTAAGTTTCAGGATTTCGAGAATATGAATCAATTGAATCTAATTGGAACTTTTGATTCGACGATTGATGTCGACTCAAAGGCATCTTTCACACACACATCAATCATCAATTTGTCTGACTAAAATAATTTATTAATTTTAGTGGCAATTGGGAAACATAAAAAAATATTAAAAAATTACCATGGCTCAAAACATCAGATTTTCAATAATAATTTTTCATCCATTCCTAAAGTTAAAGGCTAAAATATTTGTGACATTTAAAATGATTTGATGAAAATAAATAGAAGTAAAATTCTATGCTAAATGCATTTAATGGTTATAAATACCGTATATCCAAGTTTGTTTCAACATGAACCAGCTCTGAATATTAATATAGCATCAATTTTCATGATACTCACCGGTACGTTGACGGAACACTGAACAACTTACAAGGCTCTTATCAATCCCATCTATTAGAAGGCCACATTCTCCGCCATCTTGTTGCCTATTTCCAAGACTATTGATGCTATTTCCAAAATTACTAATGTGTCCTCTCGAATTTAATCTAGTCGAAATGACAACTCTAAAGACTCAAAAAACACTAATCCCAATCTAAAAATTGAAGAGGTCTTAGTGGTAGTGGTTGTGGAATGATGATAATGGAATGTAGCAACGAAATAAGATACAGTGTCAACGTCTAGAATCGAAAATGGTTTGTCTTATGTTGTGTAAACAAGCAATTTTCTTAAATCATAGTATTATGTGTGACTAAGGATAGTTTCCTAAACAATTATAAATAACATTAAAAATGAATTAATAAAATTTGAAGATATTTCTGAATACTTTTTATCCAGTAAAGAAAGTGTCAGTTATCAATAGGGTGGTTAGCAAGCTGGCGCGCAAATTGGAGAGCTTGGCGAGACAATAGTGCGTGCTAAAAAAAAAAAGCTCGCATAGTAAAAGGTGGAGAGTCTGAATATAGAGAAGTTCCATGCCTTAGTTTTTGATACGATAATCTATGTAGAAAAAAGAACAATGTATCATGTCAAGAATTTCTAAAACATAAAAATATCACAATTATTCTTAAGAAAGAAACCAAACCAACGATACTTTCGGTAACTGATTAATTCACGTATATTTATGTACTAGAGATCTGTATGTATCTCGTGCTGGTATCGTGCCAGGTACTAATGTCTGTGTTGTGCCAGTACCTGCACGAAAATGTTGGTAGTCTTAGGCCATAGGTTTGCAGATCCCAAATTGGCACCTTTTGTTATTATAACAAGGTGTTCTTCAAAATTCAAAGTCATTGGCATTTTTAATCTCTCTCTTTCCAAAGCTAATTTATCGATTTGCATACACACAATGTCCACTTCACGAAAAATATGACATTCTGACCGTTAACGTGGTCTCGTCACGTTTGAACAATTGATCGCAAATACAATATAATTTATAATTTTTTTTTTCAACCGTGTGCTTGGTTTCAGCCGGGTTTAAAAATATATAAGTTATATATTTTTTTCAGAACTATGAATTTTATTGCGCGAAATAATGTTAGTCTAGCTAGACTCGCGTCTAACAATACTTGCTCAACCGGGTAATTCCGGGTTTAAATTATCACGTTCCAAGATAAACGCAACTGATTTAACGTTACGTAATGTTGTCTTATCTGCCTTATCGCTTTTTGTATACGGTCATCGGCGATTTTCAAAGTACCGGAATACTCAGGACCCTGAATAAAAAAATGCAGAGTTTTTTACTATGGAAATCGCTTTGGTCTCATTTAGTCAATCAGAATGTAAAATTTCCGAGGTTCATTATACGAAAGCATCCAGAATACTGGAATAAATATATAGCATCAGGTCGGACTATTTTATTTTTACATGACCCCTTGGGCGCTCTATGTAGTACCTTGAGGATTTTGCTATTGTATAGTAATCATTTATCAGTATCACAGTATACCATACCTGATACCGCTTATACTATTTTTTTTTTTTTTCTCTTCTCTCCTCGGCAGACTACTCAGTGCCTTTGATTTAACAAACAAGTCATAACCCAGGGCAAAACAGAAGTATATAACAAATGTCAAATCCACGTCAATCTGCTTCTGAAACAACACCAGCCCGCGGTAATGGCGATAATCCAAATTTAAAACCTGTTAACGTAAAGCTAGTGCTTCTTGGTAAGTTTACACCATCGGAAGCGCCTAAACTCAAGTAATTTAAACAAATTAGTTGTCCTTTCTTTCTCCACAAAGTCATCACTACACTTTACCTATTTCTGTTGGAATGAAATTATTCAAGCATTAACGTACAACTTTTCTTTTTACTAACAGGTGAAGCTGCTGTTGGTAAATCTAGTTTGGTGCTTAGGTTTGTCAATAATGAATTCCAAGAAAATAAAGAACCAACTATTGGTGGTAAGAAATTCTGGACTGATCCTAAATATATAGCTTAGTCACTTTACAATTTATTATTTATTTGTCGTCATTTCTTTAATTCACATGGTACTTTTTCTCCCTCAAAAAACACAGCCGCTTTCTTAACGCAGAAGTGTCGTTTAGAAGATAAAGTAATTAAATTTGAAATCTGGGATACCGCTGGTCAGGAAAGATTTCATTCTCTGGCTCCAATGTATTATCGAAACGCTCAGGCAGCTGTAGTCGTTTACGATGTAACAAAGAGTGTAAGTCATAATTGTTACAAAACGAACTTTAGTTAACTAGTTTGATTAACCGATACATATTTAACGTAATTTTTTGACCATAATATATTAGGCCTCGCTTGACAAAGCTAAGTCTTGGGTGAAAGAATTGCAGCGCCAGGCAAATCCGAACATTGTTATTGCACTTGCAGGCAATAAAATAGATCTCGTTCATTCTGCTGAGGAGAGTGAAGAAGACCCTGCGGAAAGTGGGAGAGAAAGTAGTGTCAGAGAAAGTGGGAGACAAGTTTCTACTGAGGAGGCTAAAGCTTACGCCCTTGAAACTGGTTTGCTATTTTTTGAGACTAGTGCAAAAAATGGTGATGGTGTGCGGGACATTTTCGTAGAAATTGGTACGCAATAAATTTTAATTATATACTATATAATTAACGTATACAATTAATTTTTGTAATATTGATATCAATTGAATTTTAATTTTATATAGCCAAGAAGATTCCTCTTGAACATATTATTAGCCGCCCACGTCAAACAAGTAATAGTATCAACCCGGGGATGGGCGGAACGACAGGTGTGAATAATGGACCAAATAGAAATAATAATCCTACCGGATGTGGCTGTTAATTTCTTTTTTTCTGGGCAAATAAGCTATGATAGATACATGTATCTCAGACGTGGGCTTTATTATTAGTTCACATACATTTTTCTTTTTTTGTTTTATTATTATTCATTATCGCTTTTCTTATGTTAGTCGTGCTGGGAATAATATTTCAATTTAGTACATTCTTTCGTGCTATATATATAATATTGGACCGTTGTTATAAGTCCTTAGTAGTTATTATACAGTATTCAATTTTAGAGCGAATAATTGGATGGGGGCATTTTATGGATACTATTTGTCCGAAATTTTCAATGACATTTATATAAAAACCATGTTTTTCTTGTCTACGAACTGGCCCCCTCCTCTGTCGCTTTTTTATATATGTCAATTATATTTTCAGAAAAGACAAATTTTGTTAATTGCTTCTTTCTGATTTATATATTTTTATTACTAAATTCTCCTTCTATATATTATATGTTTAAGAAATGACTTCTTTTTCTTTGTATAACAGATAAGTTTTACCTTCAGATTCCTTCTTTTTCCCTAAATTATATCTTTTTTTATATATGAGCATGTGTAAATAAATGGTTATTTCTTTATCTTAATTTTATTTACAAGTTTTCATAATTTAACTAAGACTTAACAAATATACATATTAGTTTATAAATGGCGTTATATTTACAATTATGGAAAGAGGGTCTATAGCATTTTTAAACTTACAATCATTCTTTGGGAAATTATTATCGCATTTTTTTTTTTTTCTTTTCTTTTCTTTTTTCTGGCCAGTAATTTACATATATAAATTTCCATATATATAACACTATAAATTGAACACTATAAATTATTGGTTTTGTACCAATCCTGAAATCAGACAATAAGAAAATGTTGCTTTGTACAGGAAGAACAATGACATGATGCAAATGCAAATACCGAAACAGGTATTTAAACAAAAATATGCTTGTGTTTCCGTGAATCTTGAATAAACCTGTTTAATACTGAATTTGTATTTATAGTACGTGTCTTCGACTTGCGATGCAACATTATAAAAGTTTGCGGTGATCGTGATTATATCAACATTTTTCAAGAGCAATACTTGTACGTACGTACGTTGTATGTATGTCGACGACGATAAAGACAATATACTATTAAATAAATAAGGTCGGAAAAATACATGCACAATGTTTAATTTGGTTTAGTTTATCGCTTGAAATTGTTTAATCCTGGATTTTTTTTATTTGTTTCTTCTGTCAATTTGTAATATATTCGTTGTTTCGTATGAGATGTACGCGCATATTCAACTTTTTTAGCATGCGTTGATATGTTGTGTATGAGTTTATCATACAAATCTGCCTAGGGGCTATATCTGCCCAGACTTAGTGGGGTCTGTGTACTGAGTCTCTGGTTTTAAGTTCTCCAATAAAAACGATCGACGAGTAATATTTTAGTTTAATGAATCGAGATAATCGAGATATCCGGACTTATATTACTAATATTGTAAACTATTTAGAAATTACTCGAGTTTTGAAAAATCATGAAACCTGCAAATCAACACTTAATTTATCAAGGTCAATGATTAAAAAGTGTTATACAATATATATATATATTATATTTTGAAAATTGTCAGTTGACCCTATTTTTTTTTTTATAATTAGAAATTAACTAGCAAAGTTTAATTTAGCGCATTACACAAAAAAAAGCAAAAAAAAAAAAGAATGTATAAATATATATATTATATAATATATATATAATATATATATATACACTTTTTATGTAATTATTATTTTTTTGAAAAAAAAAGAAATTGTTAACAAGCCAATTTATTTATAGCAATTGACATTTTTTATTTTTGATTTAAAATAAATAATCTAGTTGGCGTTGATCTATAAAATCAAAAATCCCGAGATCTATTAGCTTTAAAATCAGGATTAGAATTCGAATTAAAGTATAACAATTTGTTAATAAGAGAATTATACGTATGTACATACGGATTTGTTTATGGAATGACATAGTGATGACGCAATAATTTGGCGGTACCGTGATCTCCGAGCCAAACCGGAATGCAAAGCGTCGGAAATTTGCCATTTTGATCTAGACGCCTTCCATTCCGATTTGGTCTGGAGATACGGTACTTTGCGCCATTATATGTCATTCTCTGCTTATTGTTTATCGTTATACAGTATTTAAAAATTTGATTGTTGACTATTTTAATACTACCGAATATAAAATTTAATTGCTTTTTAAAAATTGCTTTAGTGTTTTAAAAATGTTTAGCATTCTAAAAATTCTAATCTTTAATTTGATCTAGTTTTGATTTTATAATTTTAAAATAAAAAATTTTATAAAGTTTTTATAATATTAAAAACATGCTAATAAAATTTATTTTTAGTAATTTTTTAAAGAAATAATTTAGATTTAACCAAAGGTAAAATTCATCAGCCTAAGAATTTTTAGAGTGCAGTTTTAAAATAAAGAAGTTTTATATAACATAATGTAGATTTGATATAAGGCTTTAATTTTAGTTTTTCGAGGGTTTTAAACATTTTTACTTAGAATACCCGATCTCGTTTACTTAGACGTTTTTAAAATATAGCACCCTTGATGAATTTTATCTTTAGTGAGTATTAAAATTATCTTTTTTTAGATTAATTTTTTATTTTTTAAACTGTTTTGCAAAAAAATTTATTTGCAGTTTTGAAAATATATATATAATATTTTTTAAATAAAATTTTAAATATTAATTTTAATAGCAATCTATTTTAACTTTGTACTAAATTTATTATACAGTATTTATATATTTTTTTGGTATTAAGATAAGGTCTTGCTTATATCTTTATTGATTAATTTATATAAGCAATTACATAGATATAAAAGCTTAATTTGTACAAAAACAAATAAATTAAATTATATACAAGAATAAGAGCTTAGACTAAAAGCTCAAACTAAAGCTTAAACTAATTATCTGCGATTTAAACCTACTAGAGTGGTCAAGACTCACCTAGATTTAAATAGTTAGAATATTGTTAGTAGATATACTATATCTAATCTACATAGTAGACCAGATATTAAGTTTGATAGATGCTTGTTCTAGAGGAAAACAAGTATTAGATTGAGTGTAGTGGTTAGCAAAACTACAAGAGCAGTTATAAGTATATTTAGTTTTATTTCTTTTGTATAAAGAGGGTATGGATAAATTAGATATTGTATTGAAAGTAGATTAAGAGAAAATTTGATGTATTTTTTTCTAGTAAGAAAAGTTAATATAGTAGGAAATCCATATTTTGTAGTATAATTAATCAAAGATTTTGAAAAATACAATATTCGTATAATAAGTTGAGAAACATTAAAATATAAGATGTTAAAAAAGTCTAGAATCTAAATCAATAGTATTAGTATAAAATCTTTAAGTGTAAAGTAAAGAAAATAAAAATAAAAAGATGAAGATAAAGAATTAAAAGAAAGATATAAGAAGATAGTACATATAAGGTTGTAAAATTAATATATAAAAAGATTAAGATTGGAGTTGAGAATAATATTATGTATTAAGAAGTTGATAGTTTGAATTAGAAAGATATTGTCAGAACATATATACTAGTAAGAAGAAGTATTTGGATAGTTATAAAAGAAGCAATTATCAAGTATAAAAGTGAGAAAGTAAATAGAATAGAAGTATATATATGTTAATAATATATTAAAAAGCAATTTAATTTTGAAAACTTTTAAGTAATTTAGTTTAAATTGGTAAAGTTGTATAAGATTTTTGATTATTGTTAAAGTATAACCAGAAAACTTTCTAGTTAATCAAGTGAGAAAAAAATGATTATTTTTGGGTATAATGTTGTAAAGACTATAGAGCAATAGTGTATATTTTGCAAATTGTTTTAATAAGGCTATATAAACTTAATAATTTAGTTTTTATAATATAAAAATTAAAAATGACCTGGCAACTCAGATTTTAATTTTATTTTCAAAAAATTTTTTATATAAAAAATATATAAAATTTTTATATAATTTTTTAAAAAACTTATTTAAATAGTAAATATACTAAAAATTTTTCTAAGATTTGTAAATTTTAATCTGACCAGGTTATGAAAACTAAATAATTAAATTTGTATAGCTTAAATTGTCTAGTAGGGCTTTTAACAAAATATATTTTCTATAGTAGATTAGAGTATGAGTTATAAAAATTAGTATGGTTGAAGTATAGAATTGATGAGAAAGAGTAGTTTTTAGCAAATAAATTTGCAAGATTGTTAAAGGTATTGTTATAATGTATTTAAACTTTATAGAAAAAAATTTGTATATTAAAGACTTTTAAAATATTAAGAAGTATATATCAAATAGGCCAGATATTGAATTAAGATATTTAGAAAAATACAATGATATAGATAGAAGTTTGTTATATTTGAAGATAATAGATTGTGAGTCTGTAAATATTTCAATGTTAGAGTTTTAAGAAAGTATTGAAATAGCAAATAGTATTGCTAGTAGTTTAGCTTTATAAGAAAAAGGCTAGTTAAAAAACTGTACAGAAAAATTATAAATAATATGTTTAGGGGTAACCATCCTTGTTATACAAAATTACAAAAATCTTTAAAAAGATAATAACTAATTAAAATCGTAGATTGTTAAAATATTAAAAATATAAAAAAAAATAAAAACAAAGCAAAATAAAATTAATTAAAGACTGTACATTAAACTTCATAATTAATGCTTTAAATCTGGTTATAGTAAATATATATTTTTATTTATTTATTTTATAATTCATCTATTTATTAACTAATTAACTAATTTCTAACTATTATTATTAAGTTTTAATAATCTAATACAATACAACTCTATGTCTACATAATTAAACCTAAGTGTCTTATACCAATATTTACAATGCAATAATTATTCTATTAATAGATATATCTATAACATTGATACAGTATATATAGGATAGAGTTAATAGAAAAGGGACAAATCATTTTTAATACAATTTTTTTAATTTTTAAATTAAAATATCTTAATAATTAATTAATTATATTTGCTAAATTTTTTTTTATTTTAATTTTGAAATTATGAGATAATAAATTTGTAACTATGATTACTATAACCGCATCCAATAAAGCCAATTAAAATTTAAAATCAAGTGCAACGTAAAATCAAAACAAAAACTATTTTTTAAAAAAAATCATTAATAACTCAAAAATTTGATTATGAAACTATCTTTTACATTCTAACAAAAAAAATTCTTTGCTAAATTTTGATATAAACTATATCTTGCTTTAACTATAACATCACCCTAATTCTAACCTTTAACTGCAAGAGCTTATTTATAAAAAAATATTGTTTTGATATTCACATTATATCTGATCTTAGTTACGGTTATAAAAACTTTATTGTAACCTATGGTTACAAATTGATTAATCCTAAAATTATATAGAATTAAATAAAAAAAAATTTATAAAATTTAATAAAATAATTGCTAAGATATTTAAGTTTAAAATCAAAAAAAATTTGCCCCTTTTCTATTAACTTCATCCTATATGTATATGGCTTCTCACTATATCTTCAAATATAAATAAGAAATATAGTTAGGCTATATAAACTTAATAATTTAGTTTTTATAACATAAAATTTTTAAAAGTAACTCAGCAACCTGGCTATTTTGAAAAAAATTTTATATATAAAAAATATATAAAATTTTTTATAGATTTTTTTAAAAAACTCATCTGAATAGTAAATATACTTAAAATTTTTTTAAAAAATTTGTAAGTTTTAACCCAGCTAGGTTATAAAAATCAAATATTAAGTTTGTATAGCCTTAATTAAGCTGCTATTATTCTTAAATTCAAGATTTTTATACAACATATATAATAATAATAAAATAATCCAATATGTTTAATATATTAACTTTACTAAATCATTATTTTTTGCTTCTCTTATCTATTTTTCATTTGACAAGTAAAATTTAGTTAGTTTAGTAGTTTATATACTTTTAATAATATATTTTTCAATAGTAACTTTGCTAAATAAATAGCAATACAAAAATGTAGAATTAATAAAGATTAAAGAAGTATGTTGTAGAGTATTTTGAATACTTCAAGTTTACTTAGTAGTTTTTTTTTAGTTTCTTAGCAAAGTAAATTATATAAGCTTCCTAAAAAAGTATTGTAAAACAATATAAAAAAAATCTTTATTAATTGTATAATAATCTACAAATTGATAGGACAGTTGCTTTTAGAAATAATATAGTTGTTATAAACTTAAATCTAGCTAATACCTATTAAGTATTAATTGATACCAAGTTGTTTAACTAAATCATCTGTGTAAAAGATAAATTAATTTTGGAATAAGTTAGCTAAGCAAGTTGTGGAGAGATGTCATTGTTCTGAAAGATAGCCATAATAATAGAATTAGTAATATTAATAATAAATAGAATGATATATTAGAAGAGAGATCTATATAGTTAGTATTAAAGTTGAGCTATTTGTTAATTTTTTTCCTGCCCAAAAATTGAATAAAAAAAATAGTTAATACTTCTAAAGTACAATAGCTTGATATATGATTAAAGTTAAAACTGCAATCTTAGCAAAGAATACAAGAGATAGAAAATAATAGATAGTAGTATAAGGTTGAAGTTTTAATATTGCTAGTGTGTTATTGAAATAGTGTTGGTTTAGAAAAAGGTTCTACAAACTTGATTGATAATAATGTCTTTATTGAGGTATATAAAAATTTAAGGTTTGTGAGTTTTGGAAAGTAAGTTAGTTTGAAAAGTGAATAAGATAATATCAGTAAATTGAAAATTAGTTAAAATAGTTTAATATAGTTTATTGTCAAAAATAGTATCTTTTAGATAAGTAAACCAAAGTAGTTTTTTCCCTTTAGAAATATATAGAAGTTAGAAAATAAGTATAATTAGTCTAAAAGAGTATTGTTATCAGATAAACAAAGTTGTTTAAGGTAAAAAATATTTTTATATCAAAGTTGTTATTTAAAGGTGTTATATTTAGAGTAGTTGGAGAGAATATTTTTAAATGAAGTATTATTGTTACTTATAGTTTTGGGCTAAAAAGTATTAAGATGAGAGTATATAGAAAATTGAAAAGTTGTATAATTTTGAAAATTGTAAAATAATTATTTGAACTATTGATAATAGAATAGGGGTGTTAGAGAATATTAGTAGTAGACTAGAGATTATTTTCGAGTTGTTAAAGTTAGATATAAGTTGTTGCATCAAGAATAAAGATGTTGTTAATATAAATAAGAAAATTGCTAATATGGTGTTGAAGTTATATATCTCAAATATTGTGAATATTATAGAGGTTATAATTGAAAAAAATACTATTAAAAATAAAACAAAAGAGATATGTTTTGTACTTGGTAATAGTAAAGTATTTGCCAAGAATTGTGTTGCATATAGAAAAAAGAATAACAATATTATAAATTTAATATTTAATAGTAGGAATAATAACAGTATTGATAATATAAGTAATTTAATTGTTAGTAATATTTTTAGTACTAGCAATGTTTGGCTAAATTAATAGCTTCATCTTGAATAAGATTGATTTGAGAGATTTGTTTGTTGTTAAGAGTAAACTAGTATCTCAGAAACTTAAAAAGTTAAGAAGGTGAAAAAGATTGAAAATTGGAGTTAAAAAATAAAAAGTTTGATAAGGTTTGGTTTGTAATAAATATAGATTTAGTAGAATTAACTTGAATATCTGCTATGGTGCAGAAAGAGAAGATAATATTGTCAATTTTATTGAGTTGTTTTTTAGATTGA